GGAGCTCCTCCCACTGGACCAGCGCGCCGCTGACTTGTCCCTGCTCCGGCACAGTGAATCACAGTAAGTGAGGGGAGATTTGGGGGGATTTATTACAGTAACCAATTATGTATTGTCTGCACTGTATTAGCAGTATATACTCTATATGGAGTATATACTGCTAATACAGTGCAGACAATACATTTACAATTATACTTACCTGAATGGATTAAATGATCTGTATGTAGCCCTGTACTACGGATCATTTAACCCATTCATGTTAGCAGAGGATCATTGTAAATGTATTGTTGCAGGCACTCTATATGTACATGTACTATATACTACATATAGAATGCACTGAACAATAGATTTACAATTATCCTCTGCTAATATGAATGGGTTAAATGATCCGTAGTACATGATATGTAGCCCTGTACCCCCTTTTCCACTTACAGAGCTAGGTTATTTTTCTTTTAAATAAATATTAATGTAATTTTATTGGTATCTATCTACCAGTAGCTGCCTCGTTTCCCACCCTCGGCTTATATTCGGGTCAATACTTTTTCCCAGTTTTTTTTTGGTAAAATTAGGTACCTCGGCTTATATTCGGGACGGCTTATACTCGATTATATACGGTAATCAATGATGAGAATCATTGCCAATGATTCTCATTATCGATTATAATAGATTAAATCGTATCGTTGTTGCAGCCCTACATAAATCATGACCACGCACCAACATTTGTCAAGTGTATATACCATGGTTTTACAAAGAGTGTCAAAGACACTCTATGAATTTTAAACATATGTGTCTTACAAGGGTGTAATCATAGTAGACCATGCAACTGCTTTGGGGCACAAACTATCTTGACACAAAGGAATAATGAAAGTAGCAATAACACAGAATTAATATATTTATTGTATGAGAACCTATACTGTATATGAATGCTAGGAAAGCAATAAGTATTCTACATCTCTATAGGAATTATCTTTGAGGAGGTAAGGAGCCTCCTAATGGTTCTGCTACCATCACCAACAGTTAGGCTGGGTTCACACCTAGGCACACCAAATATAGGCGTTTGCCGCACGGTTTTACCGTGATTCGCGGTAAAAAAAACACGTGACAAACGCGCGTTTCCGAGGGCTATCCGGCTGTATCCTAATGGATACGTGCGGCAAATACGCCCCAAAGAAGCTCCTGTACTTCTTTGGGCGTAGGGCGTTTTGCAGCGCGTACCACAGCTGTTCCTACTAAGAACTTAAATCGTAAGGACCTTTTTACACCAGCGCGCTGCGGTAACGCTTGTTCGTGCAATGCAGTGCCATTCATTCTATACCTTCCTAGTGCACTAGATTGCAGCACAGCACAACACCCTCCAGATTTGCTGCATGCATAATGTTTGGTTCATTGTAATGCATCAGGTAGTTAATTGTACCTCATGGTGCCCTAATGGAACACCCGTGCATTAACGCACTGCAACGGACCAGGTTGGTGTGAATGAGCCCTAAAACCTGATCTTCTGAGGTACACAAAGACTGCAGGGGGCGTTTTATGGAAACAAGAGCAAGTAAACCGGTAATATAGATTGGAGATGAGTAGGGCTGCAGCTAACGATTATTTTCATAATCGATTAGTTGGCCGATTATTAAGTTCGATTAATCGGTTAATCGGATAAAAAAAAAAAGGCTCCAGTGATGGACTACTAGTTTCTATTGCGATTGTAGTCCATCACAGGAGCAAGCTTGGTATACGATCGAAAACGTTGCCAACGTTTTCAATCGTCGATTTTAATCGACTTAATCGATTAACTGTTGCAGCTCTAGAGATGAGCCTGGGCTTGATGTGAACCCAGTTCACCCAGGCCCACAAAAAAAACTGTGACTGCCACTTCCCCCTCCTGGCCCAATCAGTGGCAGCAGTTGTGCTGGGGGCATTACCTGCGCCTTTGAGACATATAGCAGGGCAGAGAATGCCCCTCTCCACAATTGATTGGGTTTGGGGGAGGTGGGCAGGCTTGGGTGGACTCAGACAACTGGGTTCACACCAAGACCATGATTCATACAGATGAAGATACTGTCCACAGCAATCAGAGAGCTTTTATATAAAAAATAACAACGCAATCAATTGTTCTTATAAGCAACATCTCTATTTCTGCCCACTCGCTCTGCCCAGTCACATTGAGTATTCTCAGGCCAAGAACTGATTCCCACACCTTCAGGTATGCTCTCATTTGTTTCCTTGAGCTGCATTTTAAAATTACTCCACACCAACTATTTCACCAATGAATGAGAACTAAGGCCGGTTACTGGTACTTAAAAACAAACAGGAATTCACATAGCCTGGTTCTGTTTTTTGTTTTTTTAAATGGAACATTACATTTATAAAATATAACAAGAACAGTTTCCTAGATGTATGACGTGTGGAGTAAATAGCCTCAGATTTATGTACATAGTATAGACAGCTGAATCTGGCAGAAATGGTGCAACTAGTCAAAAATAAAAATTTTACAAATATACAGTAGTAAAAGAATCCTTTTACATATTCGGTTAATAGTTTCTATTGTGAGGAGAAATCATATTATACCAATAAACATGATATGATAACATTTATAATATCAACAGACATGTGTTTTCATAATATGAGCTAGAAACAAATAATATAAATAAAACATTGCTAAAAGCCAACCTGTACATACGGTATGTATATTTCAAATGTTCAACATTCACTTTGTTATTACTATCTTAAACCAGTAAGTTGGAGCTGTGTGACACTGGCTCTATGTTGGTCTTATCAGACTCCAGTTCTTAACAGCTTTGTGAATCTGACTTTCAGCTGTCACTGATGAGTGCTAATAGGAACTATAAAGGTGCCCATACACTGTACGATTATCGTACAATAATCGTGGGAAATCCCGCGATCGTACGACAATCGCAAAGTGTATGGAAGGCGTGCGACCGTTTCTACTGTACGATCGCACGTCTTCCGTCGAACAAGCAGGCTGGAAAACCAGCCGAGAATCGTACGATTCTCGGCGGGTTAGTGGCGTGCTTGTTCGACAACTGCCGAACGGGCCGCACTGCCCGTTCAGCATTGCAATCGTCGGAATCGCGCCCTTCAGCGGGGCGGGCTTGCGATGATCGCAAGTACAATCTGCCTGTCCAAGATGGGCAGATCGTACGTTTTTTTTATTACTGGCCACCTTTAGACTTTAGTTTACGCGGCGGAAAACACAAGAAAACAAGTCTTAAGTGATAAAGAAGTAGGTGCACAGGTAACAAGTAGATGAAATAGTAAATGTGAGTGTGAATGGAGTTGGGAAGCAGTGCTGTAATAGTATCTTCAGACGCACACCCACATTCACACATATTGGGCCAGATAAACTATTGACGGCGTGCCAAATACTTAGCGTAAAGAAACCTGTTTTCTTTTGGATGCTCCAGGTAACAGTTTAAATTGAAAGGTTTGAAAGAAAAGATGCAAGTGCAGAGATTGTAAAAAAAAAAAAAAAAATTCCCAAGTGCAACTTTACACACAAAGGGTCTCACAGTCTGTGCAAAATAATGGTATAGAAAAAGAATAAAGCCCCATGCGCACAAGAATTACAATATGCGTCCAAGTGCATTTAGAAAAGGGCGTGCACTTAATGCTTTACTATAGCTGAATGCACTCCTAGACATTTAGAAGTGTCTATGGGTGTAGTGTATTCAGTCTAGCTGCGTTTACACAAACAAGACCTTTCTGCATCCTGGGACCTTTTAGCCTAGATTTACATGGCTAACCCATGTAAACACAAGGAAACGTGGGGACAGCTAAACCCAGAAACATCTAAACGCAGGAAAAAATTATCTGGAAAGCAGAAAAGTTTTTTATACTTCCCTGATAACTTCTCTTACGTTTAAGGCAGGAGGTCCATGTGCAGAAGTCAATATTTACTACTACTATAGTATGCCAAGAGGATGATGGCACATGTCCACATTCGACTATGTGTCTGTATCGTGATCTTTGAAATAAAAATTTTCAATTAAAAGAAAGTTGTCAACTAAGCTGTGTGTGCTGCACCATAGTGCATTTGACATCATTCCTATTCCTCAACATTCACCAATGTTAGTTGACCTGGCCCATGGTCTAGTGTCCTTCTATTGTACATGCAATGAAGATCACCAGCAATGGCAGGATGAGAATAAATCCAGAAGTTCTATTATGTTTGCCCTGATGAAGGGACCCTGCGTGGTTCCGAATCGTTGGCTATGTTACACATGTGGCATTGTTCTACAATAAATAGAACTTCTGCATTTATTCTCATCCTGTGGGTGCTGGTGATCTGCATTGCTCTTACTTCTGGATATGCATGGCGCCATCCGTGGACATCACTACAAGCACCACCGCTTTTTCAAGCACTGGTCCGAATTGCTGTATGGTGTGCAGGGGACATCTGGGCTTATTCTTCTATTGTACCTGACTGATGATGGTTGTCCGATATTCTTCATACACCCAGCCATCCTGGCATGGTATAACTGGCAGCTGCTCTAGGCTCTGGTTGAGAAGGGAATACAAAGGACTGGCACAGCTGAAAGGAATGCTGGTGTCATTCCAGGCTATGTCATAAGTGTAACACAGGCTTTGGTCAGGTTGGCCATCTTTTGCTCTTGGCACAGTGAAGTTTCTCTCCTCCTGTGGGCTCCAGCTGCAGTTCTTACTGATTTCAGCCACCTCTGAGCTCCTGCACCAGTAACTCTCAGGGATCTGTCCAAGGAACACTATCCCGACAAAAGAGAATGCAAATGTGATGCCAGTCATGCACAGCAGGAGAAAGACCCTCTTCTGGTAACGTCCGAACTCTCCAGCCTCCTGCAGAACTTCATCAATGGTTGGCATGATGTTGGAAGCCTGGCAGTTAGCCCCAGAAGGTCAGCACCAAGTGGAACGAGGAATCACTGCGAGATTCAAGCGAAGCTGGAACATGTGCTGGACGCCTTCAAGGAGCCGGCGATGTGCGCTGTAGCACTTTTCAGATCGGAGAGGAAAAGCAGCGCAGGAACCGTCATTTATACAACTCCAAAACTTTGTACTCAGGAGATAAGAGCGATGCTTTCTTGTGAGCGCCTCTAAACTGCGTCCCTATTTTCTCTCTGCCTCTGTAGCAGTCTGCAGCTGAAGCAGAGCTGGCATTAAACTTCGAGCTGAACACAGAGGGGGGGGGCTGCAGTGGTCCAGCGCCAGATTCGTGTGTGTGCCCAGTAGGACAGAGCAGCCGGGGAATGAGAGATGAGAGTGAGGAGAGCGCCGACTAGTGGCCGCTGTGTGTACTGACCAGAGAGAGGGAGGGTGCTCGGCTCCAAAACAATCCTTCACTCTCACTAAATAACCAGATTGCCTTGTTTGGTTTACTGCCCTGTGATAAACTGAAGCTTCTCATTTCCTAATACAGAATTCTAAACTTCCCCTTTTCAGTGACAGTGTTTTCCTGGGAAAGGAGCCTTAAGCATTCCTCTTAGGCCTCATTCACACCGGCGCTCCTGCGTTTAGCTTTTCTAAATGCAAGAAAAGTTATCTGAGAAGTGTAAACAACTTTTCTGCTTTCTACTTTTCTTGTGTTTAGATGCCCTATGCACATGGGAATAAACATGCCGGGTGTCACCATTGCAGGGGTGACACCAAAATGACTGACAGTTGACTTGCAGAAAAGCGCTCAGCGGCGGTTTGCTAACTCAGCACTTGCAGCGGCTGAGCAAATGAAAACGCCTCAGGTGTGGCTCCCAGAGGCATGTTGGATTTTGTAGTAAAAGCACAGCTGGAGGGCAAGAGTTGCCTGCCCCTGGTTTAGGTGTTTTCAGTCTACACACACAAGATTTTTTTGCATCCTTGGACCGTTTAACCTGGTTTTAACACAGGAACATCTAAACACAGAAACATGTGATTTGGGAGGCACAAATGTAATTTATACTTCTTAGATAATTTATCCTGTGTTTCACTCAGAAGGTCCATGTGTATGAGGCCTAAAGTCGTGTTTACACATGTTTAGGCCTCATTCACACTGGGAGTGTCAATAGGGTTGCCACCTTTTCTTCAAGCGAAACCCAAACACTCTAGAAACACACGGATATTTTTTTGGGAGAATAAGTCGCGGCTTATTCATATGTAAATATCACAGTTTAAACTATTTTCATTGGGTAGCCAGTACCCCCTAACTTAATTTTGGTTTTCCCTGTCTGCCTGGCACCTTGTGTCCGGGTTTCTGCTGCCATGAAACCCAGACATAGCATTCAAAACCCAAACTGTCCGGGTGAATCCTGGACAGGTGGCAATCCTAAGACCCCATTCACATATAGCGACATACCTTTGCAGCGGCCGGGATAGCGCGACTTTCGGGGCGACGATCCAGCGGCAGTAGCGCGACCTTCTCCGTCGGGCTCCATAGAAAAAAAAGCAAAATCGCGCAAAATCCGCCGAAAAAAGGGTTCGGTAGAATCGACTTGCGACCGCGACATGGAGTTAAGACAGCTCCATTGAATAGCATTGGCCGGCGACTTCTTGCGATATCGCGCGGCAAAAATGCGCGATATCGCGACGGAAATCGCGCGACAATTCGCTATATGTGAAAGGTAGCATTCAAACTGATTACACGCATTTTCCTGCATTCTGCTTAGCTGCGTTTACAGAAAATAGAATTCTGTAGGTCCAATTAGAAGCTTTAAATGTGGCTAAACACATGTAAATAAATGTAAGCGATTGAGTATGCAGCTTTAAGCAGGAACATCTAAACACATGAAACAGTGATCAGGGAAGCATAACATTTGTTTATGCTTCCCAAAAAACTTCCTGCAATTAGCTTTTGTGAAGGCCTTGGATGCCTAAAGCTTAATTGTAGGTGTGAATGGGGCATAACAGGTGGCAGATCTGCACTACAGCATGTAGTGCCTCATTTGGTCAATGCTTTGTACAGGCTGAGTGGCAGCAGATATTCACACACACCTGTCATCATGACTGCCACTTATAAGCCCTGCCACTTATAATTGTAAGTTTGCATGGGGCCTTAAAGAACAACTCTGGGTAATTGTTTTATTAAATTAATATTTTCAGACCTAGACCATAGTGATCGCTTAACCCAGGGGTAGCCCCACTGCAATAAATGTCAAAGTATCGCAGCTCTGAATCCTGAAAAATGGCCTGGCCAGAAAGGGGATGTAAACACCTGGTCTTCAAGTGGTTAATGACCAGATGATGAAGCCATATCTAGCATTCTGAAGATCAGCGCACTGGTACAAACACATGTTAATTTATTCATTTCAAATGGCAATGTACAATTCACATGAAATCATTAGATCTGCTGGAAGACATGGTACCTTCTATATATCAAGAAGAAATCAACACACTTGCCTGTCTAATGACCATGTTTAAGCCTACCACCTGCACCGACCCTCTGCCTGTTTGTTGACTACATCTCTGTCTTCAACCTAGACTGACTCTTTGCCTGTATGCTGACCATGCCTCTGTCTGCTGCCTGGACCAATCCTTTGCCTGTTTGCTGATCACATCTCTGCCTGACACCTGGACTACATTCCTGCCAAAAAAACAGTCCCAAGCATCCTCTGCATTCAATTGTACTTGTGCTACCACAGGTTTCACCTATTGCTCATAGTTAAAGCTATACTAAGCCACCTAAATTCCCTGACCACACATACAGAGGTGAGCATTACAGTGCACTATTTTTTATTCATGTTGTTTATTTTGCATGATACAATATCAAGTATATAAACAGAACAAACATTGAAAAACTATCACACATGGTTTGTAGTTTAATTCCAAGTATAGGCAAAACAAATAAATCTTCCACAGACTCAAATCTTGGCAAATACCTTGGGGATGTCTTCATTCCAAAATGGGGCCATTTTTTGGTGTTTCTACTGTAGTGGAACTTCAGGGCCTCCGATAATGTGATGGGTAGACAGGAAATTAGATGTGTAATTTAACCCTTTTGCTGCCACCAACGTAAGGCTTACGTTAGTGATAGCGAGTCAGTTTAAACAGACTCTGTTTACAATTGTAAAGTGCGATCTGCACTTCAATAGCTTATTTAGAGTGGAAAGGTGATACTAGGAGTCTTTTGGACCCCCAGTATCACCTTAAAGAGGACCTGTCATTGCCAATATGCTATCACATGGGGGCCTGTAAGCCTAACTAAATTTCTATGTTTGATAAAGAGTTGCGCTAATATCATGCAACATAAAAATTTGCAACTGCCACCATTTCATTCTACAGAGTCTTGGCTTTCAGAAAATTCATAATGTTTTGTGGTTTGAAGTAATTTGCAGATCTAAAATGTGGATTATAATATGTGAGCAAAAAACAAGGCCTTGGCTGTGAAAGGGTTAAGTCCTTGAAAGCCTGAAGGTGCTCCATGGATTTTGAGCCCATTTATGTGGCTAGGCTAGGCTGTGAAAAAATCTCACACATGTGGTATCCTAATACTCAGAAAAAGTAGCAGAATATGTGTTTTGGGGTGAAATTCTAAACATATCCATGCTGTGTGTAAGAAATATCTCTAACATGACAACATTGTGTATGTAAACAAATATTTCTTTACACAAATTTCGATATTAACTGAAATAGGTAAGTACTCAAACGGCTTGGAGGGAGCAGGTGGGACCAAGGATCAGTTAAGTGAAAACAGCTTTAACTGTACATAAAGCTGTAAAACGTGGAAATTTGCCTTACATCAGGGTATACGTGAGCACCATTTCCAAATTTTATGACACAAAACCCCTTCACATTAAAGTGATATTAAAGTCAAAAGGACATTAAGCACTTCAAGACCAGGTGCTTAGACCCCCTTCCTGCCCAGGCCATTTTTCAGTATTCAGCGCTGCGGTACTTTGACATTTATTCCATCATGCTATGCTGTACTGAAATAAATTTTATACCATTTTTGGGGATAGATAGAGCTTTCTTTTGGTGGTATTTAATCACCACTGAGGTTTTTATTTTTTACTATATTGATGAAAAATTATTGAGATTTTTGGAAAAAAAATGATTTTTTTCCATTATATTAGGTAACAATGATTATTACCCATATTTTTGGTAAAATATAAAATACGGGGTCACGTCGGGTAAATAGACACCAAACATGTCAAGCTTAAAAATTGCGCTCACCAGCGAAATCGCACAAAACTACCATACCCAAAATTGACCATAGGCGACGCTTTAAACGCTTTTACCGCTCATCAGTTTATTGTTATCAGTGATTGATAGCCCTAGAATTATTGCTCTCATTCCAACGTTCGCAAAGATATGTAACATGTGCGGCGTAATGGGCGCAATCGTCATTTCCGCACGTATGCGCACCGACGCCTGTTTGCATGCGTGTATGTATGAGGGGGACTTTAAAAAAAAAATAATTTGGTGGCTTGGCAATGGCCAGGAGCGGAAGTGTCTTCTAGAGCTCCGGCGGCATTGCAGGGCCCAGGCACGAGAACCAGCAGCTTGTAGCCTCCTTTCAGACCGGCGATGGGCGGCAATAAGAAGCGGAGGTCTCACTCACCCTCCCGCCAGGCTTCCTTGTCCGTGACATTGGGGCGTTTTTTCCAAAAACGGGCTCCACGAGATCTGCACAGAGTGTTCACCTACCGCTGGGGTTTCCCTTTTTGCCTCTCTGCTAGAAGGAATGGTAAGACTCATCTGTTTCGTGCTCCGGTTGATATGGAACCCTTCCTCACGGCGATGGAACTACCCCCAGTGGCCTTAGACGTTTGGCCTGACGCCCCTTTGCCTCCCTTCACCGTTGTTCCCTCTGGGGATCAGTGGCAGCTGGTTTCGCCGAAGCCCCGAAGAGACCGGAGGTCCTCATCTAAACCCACCCCCCGCTAATGCTATGGAAATACTGCTGGGGTCTGCTGTCCCTGACCTAAACTTAGCTCGTGCCCCCTGAACCCGCCGTCCCCCCTTTTTGCCTGATGGACTGTGGACTTATCTGGATATCCACGTGCACGGTTGCGGGGGTTGCCTCCACCGCCACGTTGCCCTGACCTGAATGTGCCCGTGGGTTTA